AGAGAGAGAGAGAGAGAGAGAGAGAGAGAGAGGATAAGGTTGAGTAATGCGTGGCAACTCGATCACGAGGAAAAAGGATTTTGATTTTTAAGGTTTTAGTGTGAGGTCAATGGATTCGTGCAGTCCTACGACGTCCAACGTATATATGTAGCCAACAACAAAGCCTCAGTGACTATATCGCCAACTACAACACTGTGATCATGAGATCAAAGGATTAGTACGATCGATTTTGTGGGGTCAACAAATGCATTTGGTTATTCCGATCACCAGTCCTAATCCAGCAAGCAGCAGCCAAAAGTTTCTCTCTGATGGAAGCTGACCACACCAATGCTTATCTCCACATCAGAAAGAGAGAGAGAGATAGAAGAATGCAGCTTTGACTAGCTAGTGGTCGGGCCATGGAGATCACATTCCGACAAGCAAAAGCTCTCTTATTCGAGGAAGAAAAAAAGAACTCTTTTAGCAGTTCTCCGATCCATGTTCTTGGTGTGCTTTTAGATCTTGGCGACTGTAACGAAGTCAATCGTCATGATCTTAATTGATGGTCTAAAGATCTTATCCTCAGACTGTTCCCACAGAGAAGACAGTCACAGCTCCAGCTCAAAGGGCGAGAATTCGATAGTGGACAACGCATGCACGATGAGGGCTATTGGAATAAGCCACGACGACTGTCTGCCGCTTTGCGCAGTCAACTCCTTCCTCCACCTATAAATGCGATTGCTGGGTGTTGGTAATTGGCAGTGCAAACACGACATGCAGTGGAGCTCAGCATGTCTAAGAAACTGGTACTCTCGTTCTTCTTGATCTGTTTGATGATGAGGACCGAAGCTAGAATGCAGCATTTTCATGGCGTCCTTCCAGACCATAGCAGTGCCTGCTTCCATGGTGGGAGCTCGAGAGCAATGGAGGCGGAACCAAATAGAGACGTCCCTGGAGGACCAAACCATCAGCACCATGTCTCGTCACCACCAACTCCATAGCAGCAGCACGACAGTACATGCACACGCAGTCTTTGCAGGAAGAGAAGACAGGTTGAGGCATTCAACCAGCAAGCACACGATCATTTCAGAGCAGCTCGACTCTATAAGAACAGATAATGTCATGCATTGTTGCTTCACTGGCTTTACTTTATCCTTTCCTAGTCTTTATCTTTGATTACTTTGCAGTTAATTTGCATTAGTTCAGTAGCTTGTCAGTTCTCTCCAACTCAACAATAAGGAAGAAGATGGTGTACTTTTCTCCACAATATATAGTACTAGCTTCCACTGTGTGTCATGTTCTTTAGTCTCTTTATCTTTAGGCATTATGATTTCATGAATAAGATTATCATCTGCATTTGTTGGATTACGTACTATCGGCATTTGTTTCTCCAGAATACATGTGGAGGTTTACAGTTAATTTGCATGAGTTCTTCCACTAAAAGGAATCACCTTCTACAACAATTGACTGACACTCTTTTTTCTTGGGCTGTTTTGATCGAGCTTCTCATCTCAAGCACCTTACAACAACAACCACCCCCAAAAACACACACACACACACACACAAATAAAAAGGAAAAATAAAACACTATAAATCTTTTATCTGTATCTCTCAAGAAATAAAAAATACAAAGGTTAAATGTTTTGATCAGACATGAGACAGCTAAAAATTCAATCCGCTAGCCAAGATTATAGTTATGGAGGATGTAGACGTTCTGACTAAATGGACTAGATTTATTTATGCATTACTTAAAATCAAATTTGAGGAGAAAAATTAACTTGGAGAACTCATACAAAAAAGAACAGAAATTTGTGAAGATGAATCAACGATTAATCTTACATTGCTAAAAGATAAAAAGCAGTCAAACTACAAAAAAAAAAAAAAAGAAATGGACAAAATAATGCAGTATATAGTGTTTAAAAAAATTATTTATGAATGAATTATTTTGAGGGATCAACGTTTTGTTTCAATTTCTTCAATGGATAAATCAAAATCACTTATTATTTGAGAGATATGTATGGAAAATGTCCTTTTAAAATATTAATGATTTTTTTTAGGTTTCTATATTTTATTCCAATTTTCTCAATGTATAAATCCAAATTATCTATTGTACTCATCTTTGGAACCCCTCGCACCAAACCTTGGTTCCTGCTGCGACCCACTGTGGGTCCAATGATTTCACCATATATAAGAAAGGTAGATGACGGGTAATCATCGATGGCCCACAAATAACGTGGCTTCGGCGCCGATGCATGCATAAGTGGCCCATTGATATTTTCGAAAAATTTTAAATGGTTTCTCCCACTTCGCGCCTATAAATAGAGAGGGAATCGGGGTGTGGCCACATAGTCGCTTGAACCCCCCATTGGAGGTCAAAATAGAGTGAGGAGATGAGAGAAAAGGAAGAGGGGAACGAGATGCACCGAGGTGGAGCGAACGGCGAAAGAAACCCCGAATCATGTATCTCATCTCCCTCCACCTTCGTCGATCGGCACTCCAGCTCTACTGGTATTCTCTTTCTCTCTCCCCTCTTATCCAGATTCATGGCGTTCACTAGAATTCTCGCTAAAATTAGTGATCTAAATCGTTTTCTGGTGAATTCAATTGCATAGATAGTGCTGAATAGTTGATCTCGTGGTTTGATTCAACTATCAGCAAGGACATTGATCATATCTTCAGATCTGGAGTTCTATTCGTTTCCAAGAACTCTTTGGAACGAATCGTAGTGTAACGATTCAGTCTGAAGTCGGTCGTTCCTAATTCTCTTTCTGATTTTAGATATTTGATTGTTTCATGAGTGAAACGGAAGCTCGTTGATCCGATAGATCATGATGTTGAATTACCAAACCCCTAAATCTTGATGTCTATCCAAATTCTTTGCTCTGGACGTCATTGACGATCACAGCCTTCATTACATCTATCCATTTGATCCTATCCGTCTAAGGAGTATAACACGTGGCTAAATCTCACCAACTCGTTTCGTCCATCTCAAACCGTTCTTTGATTCAATGTCGTTGTTAATGGACCCAATCTCGTCATTGAAATCATAATTATTGTTCAAATTTTGGAGCCTATTCTATTTTATTTTACTTCGTTTTCTTTTTGAATTGGAAGAAACAGATGTTGGAATTCCAAAGGCCATTGGAATCCCACAATAAACATGGTTCAAACTGGATGGTTTCAATTGCATTATTATCATGATAATGGTGATATAAGTTACACAATATCAATGATCAAATAAAATAGTTTTATTGGTCACAATGGAGAAGGTTTATCTCATAATACTTTCAATTGCTTTCATGATGGCTGAAGGCATTAAGGACAATGCATTAAGTATTTTATGAATTATATTAAATTGAGATCCCTTTTCTAGCCTATATATAGAGGCCTATGGCTATTCATCAAAGACGTCAATTGTTCTTGAATGCATTATCCAATGAATTTGATGTTCTTCATCAAAAATTTGTTCTTGAACAACAATGACTAGAGGTTACATATTCAATTCATAAATTATTTTACTAATAACAGATAATAAAACAGGTATAAAGAGGTATTTCAGACCACACACCCCCCTTAACATTCCCCTAATTTGTCACAATGCAGAATTGAATCGGTTTAGTAGTAAACAATCGCAGATCTATCAAATGAAGTTACACGGAATCGCAGTTATTTTGCTGCCACGTTGCAATCAGCTCCCCACATTTCGACAAACAAGTTCCGGTCGTCCACAAACATCACTCGTTCAGCACAAGCTCCATCATCAGATCACTCCAGGCGTCGGCAGCACCAGGCAAACACCAGTGGAGGCAGTCGTGCACAGGCCACTGCCTCTTCCGCTTGACGACCTGTTGAGCGCCTCCCCAGTACCGATCGGGATGCGCATCGGGACGCAGCACCATGAGCTGGTAAATGTCGAAGAGCTTCAAGCGTGCAGATCCCTCTCCCATCAGCGCCGCCCTCTCGAACTCCTCCAGCTCTATCCTTCGCATCGCGCGACCCACCTCCTTCCCGTCGTATTCCCCTCTCCTATACGGTGTCGCCCTGTTGCAAGTGCCACGGGAGTTCCATTCCCCGTTCTCGTAGTGTTCCGGCGACCATGTCCTCAAGATCACCACGGGCTTATGGGCAGAACTGGCGACGAAGCGGAAAACAGAGCCGAGCATCTTCCTGTAGGCTGCATCAACCCCCATCTCGGGGAAGCTTCGTGTACCGCAGTAGTGGCAGCCGACGATGGTGTTCTTCTCCAGATAGAAGAACGTCGAGTTCTTCAAATACCAATGGCCGCTGCCTACGACGACGTAGTCGAAGGTGCTGTATTGGTCGGCCCACTTCGCATCCGGGACGTCGGTGTGTAGCAGGAATACGGAGTGCATCTCAGAGACATCATAGTTGTACATCTCCGCTTTGGAGACGAAGGGACTCCAAATCAGCGACACGGTAAAATTATAGGAGGGAAACCGCCACACTTTGGATTCGTAATCCTCGTCGTGGGACAGCTCAACAGCTTCCTCTGCCTGACAAAGAACATTGACAAAGGACAATATTGTAAGTCTCCTCCAAAGCCTCATCCCCACACGCGCAACACTCGTACGTGTGTGTGTGTATATATATATATATATATATATATATATATATATATATAGATAGAGAGAGAGAGAGAGAGAGAGAGAGAGAGAGAGAGAGAGAGAGAGAGAGAGAGAGAGAGAATATGCATGCATTCGTTGTCATAGATTTATAGCAATTTTTTATTTTTGCAAAGAGTTGACGAGAATGAGATTCTGAGTTCAAAACCTTATGTCAAAGTTTTTATCAACTAAATTAATTAGTACCATCACAATGTGTAACAGTGAGAGAACTCACCTTAGAAAGAAGGCAGATAAATGATTCAGCAAAATTCCGAAAGATGGAGTCACCAACAAATGCCCAAACTTTGTTCCGCATAGCACTAAGAAATTTGTCTGGGTCAAATAAGGGTACATCGCAGTCTTGTGGTTTCCATCTCCAATTGATATAGCTAGTATTTGATCGTCCACTTCTTATGCAATTTTGATTGTGTGCAATGAAACGACAACTACTGGTGTATGCAGCTCCAAAAGGATTTGGGATCCATTCCCCATTAAAAAGGTCGCATTTGCCTGATGTATCTACCGCAACAAAAAGATTACATAAGAAAAAGAAGGAATATATAGCAACAAGGAAAAACAGTAACACATTTCGGTAGCAAACAGTAAGATGGCTATGATACTTCTAAAAAAAATCGGTAATTTAGAATATAACAGTTATAACACTACAAAAGATAAATCGGTAATTTAGAATTTGCTATTTTTATTATCTAAACTCCATGACCAACAGTTATATTGCCCAGCACAGTGGAAAAGAAATCCACAAGTACATCTCTCTCCTTTTTTTTATTTCGATTTTTTTTTAATTTCTAATTCGACCTTTTTTCGTCGAATAACATATGAAGAATAGAATCCAGATTATTTGAAGGTATTTAGATGCTTTGAAGCAAAACCAAGTACCTCTCTGAGGCTTCCCTTCTCCAACGTGGACCGACGCGGATGATCCGCTCTCCACAGCGGCAGAGAGCGTTCTGGAGACGGCGCTGTACTCGTTGAAGTAGTAGAAGAGGGTGAAGGATGCACAGAGGAGCAGCCCGGAGATGAAGAGCTTGGTCAGGAATTGGTTGCCGTGGTGGCGGAGGCCAGGGCACTCCTCCAAATCGGAGCCCATCACCTAAACCATTAACCTCTTCTGTAATAACAGCTACAGAGGGTGAATGTTAAGAGTATAATTACATGTTGACAATGACAGACGGAGAGGAGTTAGCACATGAAGGAGTTGCAATTCGGAGAGAGAATATAAGTACACAGATATAGAGAGAGAGATAGAGAAGAGTTAGCTGTAGTTGTGAGAGAGAGGGGCGGCAAAGCCTTTCTTACGTAACTGCTATTAGCTAGTAATGGAAGGTTAACGCTTGTATGACATAGTAAACAGTCATGGTTGCCATGACATGCTTTTTGGGATTAAACAGCATAAAAACAATGCCGTTAGAAAGATGGTTGGTTCCATCTGGGGCCCATCGATCCGTCGGCCAGAGAGAGAGATATATATGTATGTATATATATATATATATGTATGTATATATATATGTATATGTATATATATATATATATGTATATATGTGTATATATATATATGTATATGTATATGTATATATATACATATATATATATATATATTTATGTATATATGTATATATATGTATGTATGTATATATATATATATATATACATATATATATTTATATATGTATGTATATATATATGTATGTATGTATATATATATATATACATATATTTATTTATTTATTTATAAATGTATATGTATGTATGTATATATATATATATGTATATATATATGTATATATATATATAT